TTTATTTATGTAGTTAGGATTATGGATCCGATGTGAATCCTATTTGTGGTTTAATTTAGTTTCTTTAATAAATTATTTCAGTATTTGTGTTTTACCTTGCATGAATTTCTATATCCTTGTATGAATTGATCACTCTTATAGGGATTTGAGAGTTAGGGTTCGCAATAGACATATTGAGATTTTAATCCTGACTGGGGTAAAATACCAATTCTTGTATGACCTAAACATAGGCTTGCTTGAGTTGTAGATTTCATAATTCATCGCGTTTAATGCTTATTCTAAGAGGAATTACTAAGACATTAGGATTCTGATTAGAATAAAGGGTTAAAGTCACTAAGACATTAGGATTTAACCAACTATTTTTAGAAGATGAATTGTCTGAAATATCTAAGATAAATTATTATTGAAATTAATTTAAACTACTCTAGGAGGATCTGAGGTGAAATAATTCTTAACTGCAGCTTTTGTTTTTGATATTCTAAATTTAATTCTCAATTCTTGTGTTCTTGATATTCTTGTTATTTACTGCAATTAATTTTAGTTTTAATTTAAATTCAAAAAATTTCTCAACAATCAATTCGGGTTTTTCAAATTAAAGAGAATAATTATAATAGTATTTGGCGCATTATCCTCGTGGGACGATATTCTTTATCACTACTTTATTACTTGAAACATCGGTATACTTGTCGTAATCGCAACACTACCATAATGCTAACTTAATTTATCATTAGAAATATAGATGACTAATGGGAAAATGCCCTCCACATGTAAAAAAAATAAAATAACATTATAGATGGATAGCAAAGCAAGCTATTTATCGATTAGTTTTTCATTACTTTTTTGTAGCAACTTCGGGGAAAATAGGAGGGGAACGAGGCAGTGGGGTTAGGAAGTAAATTTTAATAAAAGAAGTTATTATTACGTGACTAATAATTATTTGTTCAAATGATAGGAAGTTAGAAAAAATATTACCTCTATTCAAAAAAAAAATAAAAAAAAATAGCTAGGATAACCATTCTTTATATAAGTCCGATCATACTTAAAAAGATTAAATCGGATAATCAATGAATTGATGAAAATTGGAGAATTTTTACTCGTGAAAATATTTCATTTATCAAAATGTTTTTTTTTTTTTTTGAGTTGATTTTACAAAATTATTTAGGGATCACTCCATATGTCTATTATGTATTCTTAATCCTTCTTACGTGTCTAAACCCGCCTGTTTTGGAGTACCACCACGCAGGGGTTTGTCATTTCTTTTTATTTTTCAACTATCAGAAGTCAGAACCTTATCATGAGTAACGACAAAAACAAATTTACGAAATATCATCCCTTTTATATTTTTTAATTATTTTATACTCTAGAATTATATTGTAATTAAATATTTTTGTAGCTAACGAAAAATCAATAAACATATCATATTATTTTGTCAAAAATTCTAACAAATAAACTTTGACTCTCTAGTAGTTGTTTTGAAGCAAATCCGGTCCAACCTCACATACGGTCTGGCCGTCTGGGACAGTTTGAAAACCTTATGAATTTGCTATTTTTTAATTTTCATTTTTAAAATCCATTTATAAGTGATTTTCTAATTTTATCATTCTCAATCTAGTTAACAGTTATAAATTTTCATGCAGCGGTTATTATTTATTTATTTATTTATTTTAGAAGTTTAATTTGACATCAAGATGATGATGATTATTATTTTTTGGAAAAAAAATTCAGAGGGAGAAAACATTATCCTACTTCAAAGTCAAACCATATTACAAACTTATAATAATATTTATAATTAATTTAATAATAAAAGGTCCACACACAAAAATCGAAACTCCCTATATTTTAGTCAACGCAAAACATAAACGCGACCATGTTTTGTAGTAAACAAATCAAAGCAGAATTCCCAAGTCCGAGACGTTTACCTCATTCAGATTGGCACACATGATTAAAATTTCCGCTCATGTTAATCATAATTTGAATTTGATTCTTAGTTTTTTCTTTCTTTGATAAATATTCATCATGCAAGTTGAGAACAATAAACCATATATAATTTTATTGTAAAATTTTATTGAAATCAAGAACTTTGTAAGACAAGTCATCCCTTAATCTAAATTTTTTATGCAAATAAAAAAGGGTTTGCAACTTTTCATGTTGCATGAGAAAATCAAACTTTCCTACTAAAAAAAAGAAACGGAATCCATCTTTAAAAAAAAAAAAAAAATTAAAAAGTAGTTGATACAGATTTTAAAATGAGAATAGTAGGAAAAGAGATTTCTAACATGATAAGTTTTTTTCCAATAAAAAATAAAAAGTTTGCCATACATTATCATGGCTATATCACATGGTTGCACAAACATTATTATTGGTGTATTTATACACGGGAGGATTTTTTTGAATCCTAAAAAATGTTATTTCTCATCTCAGTATAATTTTTATCAATCTAACGATTATAATTTATCAAATTATATATTAATTGATACCAAATAAGTTACAATCATGGATGGAAATGAACAACTGAAATGAAAATAAGACTTTTTAATTTTATATTGGAATCGAAAGATTATTTCTCATTTATATAATAAACAAATAATTGCAATACATTAAAAATTAAATTAAATTTATAGTTTTTTGCTCTTGGTTTGTCTTATTATATACGTATCCGTGATGCAGAAAGTGATGGGTGAGAGTGAGTGGCTCCACTTTCTATTTTCTCATGCACCCTTTGGGGGCCAAACAGGGTTGAAGTGTGTTGGTGTTGGGGCCCTCCTTCTCTCTGTGTGTGTGTGTGGTGGAGGCGCCAACAGGTACTGATGCGCACGCTGAGATGCTCTCATGGCCCATGGGCCACACCCCACACACATATGCATGAGGGGCCCACTTTATCTTCCAAAATCACTCTGACTCCGCCGTGTATGGCTCTGACATCGCACCCCACCGTACAACTGACCCGGTTGGGCCCCACCGGGGCCCGTCAATCCAACGGCTCGTTTTCCATCATTTCCCTTTGTGGGCCCCACAGGCTCAAAAATAGGGTCCATGACCATGCTTGGTTTGGTTGGGTAGCTCTGGCCTCACTTTGGAAGTGGACCACAAAGGGAGTAAAATATAGTGGTGGACCCTAAAGTGGGACCCACCATTAACACACAACACACACTCACTCTCACTCTCACATATTGGTCTTGGGTTGGGAGTTGGGACCCTCCAATGGCAAAATGGGTATTGACCAAGACCCATTTTATCAATTGGTCCCTACATGTTTGTAATTTTCATTTTTAATCTTTTCATAGTAGCTTCTGGATGTGTGTGGGGGGGGGGGGGGGGGGGGCTTTTGCTGGTGGGTCCCTATTTCCTGCAACTTATGGTGTAGGGTACTCTTCCTTTTATCTCAAAGTGTTTTTTTTTTTTTTTTTTTTTTTTAAATTTCCTAATGATTTGTTTATTATTTATTATCTTACCAACTTTTGCCTACTTCTAATAACGTAATTGTCTTATTTTGGTTTTTCATTATTATTTTTTGTTGAAAGTGGATTGTATTTATTAATTATGAATGGTGGGAAGAACTATTCCATTGGATCAGAATGAGGTTAGGTTATTTCTTTGAGTGAGGGCCCCCCCTTCCTAAGCTTTGATTCACGATGCTTGTTGGTGAATGGGGATTGGTGAGAGATATAAATGGGGCATGACAGCATGAGAAAGCTTCCTTCATTCTTTTTTTCACACCACTACTTTGCCAAGTTTTATTCTGTTTTGTCTGTTTTTTTTTTTTTTAATTCTTCTTAAACAGTAATAAGATCTTTTGTTCTCATATGAATTATTATTCAATGTCTTTAAAAAAAAGAAATGAATTATTATTCAACTCCAAGCCTTTATCTCCCAAATAAAAAATATCAGGGGTGTGAAAAAATCTCATTTTTTTAAACCCTATTAAGAATCAAATCATTTTATGTAAAACTGGTTCAACAACGAAAACAACTGAATCATTTTTTTAACTACTAACATTTTTATTTTATTTTATTTTTACCTCAAAACTAAACCGAACCGAACCATACCGTGCACACCCCTATAAAATATATTGTTCTATCTTGTCTTAGAGACAGAGATATCTAGTCCAATAGACTAGTATGTTGCTTTTGGATCTAGGTGCCCTCTTTAAAGTATCTATGAGTTAGATGCTCTTGAGTCAATTAGATCACTATGTACAAAAGAATAATATATGAGTTTGTCAAAGGAGTGTGCGCGCGCGCGCACAGTTACAACATAACAGTCATAGAGAGTGGTGTACCTATAGATTTTACCTCTTATTTATAGAGTTTACTTGTGGATATTGGGTGTTAGACCTTCCATGCTTCTGCGAACGGCCCAAACCCATGTATCATGCTGTCGTATTAGTATTGGTATCCTTGATGGATACCTTTCCTTAATTATGCCTGATTTATGCTTGGATTATCCCTTATTAGACTTAATAATAAATGAACCTCAGATATTGGTCCATAAATGTAGATATATTACTCTGCTATATTTAAATAGGTAAACAAAAATGTATGCTATCTTCAATATTTCATGTTCATGTAGATATATTAGATTGTTATATTTAAAAAGTTAAACAAAAATGTATGTTATCTTCAATATTATGTTTGGCATAATAACTGAAAGTCCCCTTAGCTCATAGGCGTTTGTTGAAAACGGGCAAGATTGGTATTCTAAAAAAATTACCATGCCTCTTAGCTGGCAATATTGTTGAACTCACATTTTTACATGCTTGTATATTACTGCGATGAGGATTGAAAAAGGGAATGCAAGATGCTTGTGAATAATTTCATTTTAGTGTACCAAACATAGACATTTTGTTCAAACATCCAACACATGAAGATATTAAATGAAATGTTTTTGCGTACCAAACAACTGTAATATGTACAAATATGTTGATTAGTTTCTACAAGATAACGTGATTTTGGTACACAGGTAAAGATGGACACAAACTCAAAATGAATATTACTACCTGACATAAAAATATACGTAATTTTTGCAGCATCACTTGAATTTACAAAGACACAGTAAGGCTTCAAATAATTTTTCATTTACCTTCTTTTGGGGTAAAAAGCAAAATTCAACATACGTTTGCCCACACAAGCATGCTGATGGAAGATAAGCATAAAACTTTAACAAGTGTATAATAGAATACAATTTTCTGAGCTTTTAACAAGTCTTACAGCCTTACAACTTCCACCTCTGGGATTGTTGTGCAAAAGAAAATGTTCATGCTTGCTTGGTTTCTCACTTTTCAATCATCACAGTAGCAGATTTGATACCTCTTCATCATTATGGAACAGCAAATAGTGTGGCAGCACAGTGAGAATATCTTCCCATAATCTTGGAGGTCAATGAGGTGTTTGTTCTGGATTTCATATCATGATCCTGACATGTAAGTGTATCGTGTTTGAGCTCCAATCATAAGCTCAACAATTTTAGCTGCAACATATGTTAGAAAAGTAGGTCAGATGCTCAAAGCAGTCTACCAAGCTGAAATGATGATAAGAAACAACAAAGGAAATAAATAAGTATAAAGCATACCTGTAAGAAATCCTATGATAGGTATAGGCTCCAAAACTTTCTCAGTGCTTTCAAGTCTTCGTCTACAAAATTAGAGAATTTTAAGTATCATTTTTTTCTCCTCCTTGGAAGTAGCACATTGCAAAATATAAAAAAAAGTTAAAGAAAGAAGAAAATGAGAGAGCAAAATGTAAAATCATTGTTACCTAGTATACTTGCTGAAAAATGGATCTCTCATTAGGTAAAGAACAAATAACAGCTTCCGTCGTTTAACCTGAAGCAAAACTATTTCAGCAGTGACTCTTTAATGGGTTGAACATCACTAGCTAATAAGACAGTTCTAAATGCAGTTTTAATGGCCAAGAAGACCATTAAGCCAAGTGCATCTTATGCCTATATGGTATGACTCTATAAAGTCCAAAGAAGCACAAACCTCATCCTTTTCTGGGGCAGAAAGATGAAACATTTGCTCTTTCCCACCAATCACTGATGTTGTAACAACTGAAAGAATACTGTTCGCTACGCAGTCAACAGCTAGTGAAAGGAACCAAGGGGTCCATGAACGAATACCATATTTTCGAATACATAAAACATAAATAAGTGGTCTACTAATAAATAGAACTTCTCCAATCAAAAACAGTGCCCCACGAAGACCCCTTTTGGACAACATGGTGAAAAGTGTTGGTCTTTCTACCCTTGAAACTGTAAGAATGAAGTGGGCAACAAGTATTAGTTGAATTTCACATGCGTTATAATCGGTTACACTGCTTTGTACTGCTAAAATGTCTTTAGAACAGATTACCTGTAGGCTCTATAATTGCTTTTTGGTGTTGAACCCTACGTAACCACACTGCATCTAAACCCATCCTGGCTTTCTCTCCAAAGCTACTTAAAGCAGATAGTGCTCTTCCTTCCAGATTCCATGGGTTTTCACCAAGATTGTTTTGATGTTGTGTAGTAAAACTATCCAAATGTGTCTCATCATTGGATGTCTCCCCTCCGTGTAGCAGCATCTTATATCCACTCTTACGAAACAAAGATAACCGAACCAGTACCCTGAGTTAGAGTGATTCAAGATAATAAGAAAAATGGATCGATGACTACAGTTATAGATATAATGATTAATGACAGATGGAGGATAATGGGAAGGACCATATGTTAAATTACATTATGCTGCTTACTTGGTTGCTTCAGTAACAGCCAGGAAATTCCATTTCTTATCATCACCATAGTAATGTTGTGCCACAACTTCAACTAACGTTTCCAAATCCTTTAGTGCAGATAAGCATAATGGATAAGGAAATGAATAAGGCTCAACATAGCCTCTAATATTTTGGTTAGGAGTTGTATCAATTATATGTCCATTGATAGCTGTGATAATTCCCAGAATGGTCGTCACTGCGTGAAATCATAGATTTTTTCAGTGAGGTACCAATTCCTATATTGTAGCCAAATATAATAAGAGAAAAATTAATTAAAAAATAGAGAAGGCAATTAGAACTAGTTCAATTTTTAAAAAAATGGAGGTAAACTAGAAGAGTGTAATGTGACTTTGGAAGTTTGCAACAGGAATCCAGGGAGGCACAAAGCTCAGCTGAAAAAAGTTATGTTTAATTTCTAGTTAGCCTTTTCAAGATCAAAATGAACAAATAATTGGAGATAGAAGTTTCTAATATGTGCAAGTGCAGTCATAAAAAATTTTCTTTCCATTTTATCACCAACAGAAAAATAACTGCTTGAATTGAGAGAAAGTTCTATATATCCTTGACACTCAAAAGTAAGTAGCCAAAAGTTACCAAAAATTCACAAAACCTGCTTCTGGTCCAATCTCTGATTCAGAGAACCGTTCTGGAAGAAGCCATGTCAATCCCTGTCCACATTTTCAATCCCCCAATAAGATAACAAGTGATGTACATATGCTCAATATACAACAAACTATGTTTCAACACAATGTCCTCCATAGACTTGTACAAACAGAAGATAGCAATCACAGCAAAACTGGGAGTTTAATTTATTTTCTGATTTCATTTTCAGTTGATATGTTTTCATTAACAATTACAATATGGCAAATTATTAAATTTTAAGAAGGAAATGGCGAAATCATGATTATTAGTAAAAACAACATAACAAGATAGCACTTAAATGCAACAATAGCCAAATTATAAAACAAGCAAAATTCATATAAAAAACGCCATTTCCCCCAGATTTTTGTACACTGTTTGCAACTAGTAATTAGTAACAACACAAAAGCATGACCTTACTCAAAAATTTACTTTGTAGCAACAGAATGATTACATTTAAAATTTAACCCAAAAAATAAAAAATAAAAAAATTGTCAAATTGTTAATCCAAAAGCGTAAGCTTACATTGGCCAAAGACTCCAAGGAGTGCACATAATCTCTGTTCTGCCTGACCCATCTCTTATAAGCCTCCATAGCTTCAGAAACTCTACAAACCACACAAAAATAGAAATAAACTAAGCACCAAACCCTACCCTCGTATACAACATTTGCACGTATTGGAAGCGACCCAGTTGGTCAAGATGCAAACTTTCGACCCAATTTGCGTGAATTGAAGATGGGTTTTCAATTAGAGAAACAGGGGACCCATATAGAGAGAGAAGAATGATGAGGTGTCAATTGTTGATGAATTGAAGGATCTGATCTTAACCGTTAATTTGTACACTCTTTCTGGTTTATGTACCGTCCGATGAGAGTGTTATTATCCTTTAAAACAGTGGACGGTTATGATTCGGAGCTGGCTTTTGATCGTGCGGTTAAGAGTTTATGGTATATATTTGCTGACGTTAGTGTTTGCGCATGAATAATAAAATTGTGTCCTCTTCTCTCGCTCTCTCTCCTCTTTCGCTTGTTTCTCTCTCTAGGGCTTTGGGGTTTCTAAGGAAACTTTGTTAAATATGCAGCTGACACTTGAGTTCGGGTAAGTTTATGTTATATCCGTCGAAATTCACTGCTTGTAATGTTTATTCGCTCGTTATGATTTTCTTAATAAAGTTTAAATTTTATTTTTCATAAAATAAATAGAGTTTATTAATGGGGAATTGATATTTTTTGCTGGGTTGGTGCTTGCTATTTCATCATATATTCTGTTTCCATTTTTTTGTTTCATCCTGTTCATTATACATATTTGGATCAAATTTATTCACACATAACTAGGTAATTTCTAGAGAGGTATGCTGGGAATTTTTTTTCTCATAATCCAGAAAAGAAAAGAATTTTACAGAAAATGTTTCTGATCAAACACAAAACTGAAAGATTCACAATAGAACCCTTTTTTTTTTTGGAGGGGTGGATTTTTCTTTTCCTTAAAACTTCTTTTTCCAGTGTGTAACAAAGGTAGCCTAATAGAAGTGATCATTCAGTATCTGTTTTTGGAAACATTTATTCATTCCAAACAGATTGAAAGCAAGTTCTTATCTCCCTCTTTTTGTTGAGGAGTTTAACTTAGGCATCCTGTTTGTATTATTTCTTTTCTGTACTTGATGTTGATAAAACTTTTCTCATAAAGGAATAGGAAAATGAAAAAAGTTCCACATAAGTAAAAATTCCTTTTGAAAAGTCTAAGAACCTTTGTAGATTAATACAATGGTGATTGCAGATATCAAATTGATATTTCCTCATTCATTTTTCTAATTTCTAGTTAACAGAGTTAAGCCATGGGAAAACATTTTATTATCGAGGTTTTAATGATTCCTTAGAATCTGTATTTGGGAAATAGTATCCAAATTTATACCCATTAATTCCAAGTCCCTTGAAACTAGCTCACTTTGTTGGGACTTTTGATTGCAACTACCTGGTAGGGGGTTCAACATCTCAAATGTTTCCTTTCCCGCTCCTTGGGCCCCTTAGTGGGAATCCTTTAGACACCACTCTAGTTGTGGGGCTTCCCTTAACCTTAGCAAGGTCTAGTACCAGAAAATAAAAATAAAAAAGGGGTAGCACCACTCCCCCCTCAAAAAAGAAAAAAGAAAAAGGAATAAGTGAACAAAGAGATAATGCTAACACCAGCAGAAGGAGAATTTAGAAGATTTCTCCTTGTGTTAATGTTTAACAACTATTGGTTTGGTTTCTGTGATTTGGAGATACCTTGTTTTTTATTTGATGCAAATACCATGCTGAACAGCTTTGGCGGATTAAGACTTTGACTTTTTGTTGTTCAATTCATGTATATTTTCAGTAGCTAATATAATTGCATGCCTTGCCTTTAGATCTAAAGATTTTTCACTGTGTAAAGAGTAATTCAAACCTGAACTGAGTTATATGATCATAGGCATTCTAATTTTTTAATCTAATATTGTTGGTGTTATGATTAAATTAAACAGGATATTGAAGGTTATTTCAAAAATAGTTTTTTCTACTTTATCTTATTCATCGTCCTTGTATGGCCCTTCTTAATGTTCAAAATATATATTGTTTTGTTCTTATCTAGTTATCTTATATCTGAGATTAGAACCTTTACTTTTTGTCTGCTTTGTTTAAATGGCTGAAACATACAGAGGGGGGTTGGAGCTTCTTTGTGACTCTAAGAAGATTCGTAATATCAACATCGAACAACAAAATGGTGAAGACAAGGTAGTGTATCACTTCAAAAAAATTTGAACTATGATGTGTATGGAACATTCTTTTATGCTTGACATTCTTATAAAATTCTCTTCATACTTCTCAGTTAATCATGAAAGATTTGCTTTCTTGGGTGCGGACCAACTTGATTAAGGAGAGGCCTGAAATGTTCATGAAAGGAGATACTGTGTAAGTTTGATACTATAAATATTATATGAACATATTTTACTGATAATAATAGAATATTACTCCTTAGAATAGGGAAAATCCCTCTTGGTTACACTGAGAAACAAAAGAAGAAGAAGATAGAATCATATGCAGATCTTTGAGGGTCTGCTTCCTCCCTACCCTAAAGCCCCAATTCCCTACTAATGATTTCCTAATTCCCCTTTTCCCCCTCCAGCTCATTTACCATTTCCCTTAACAGATTTCACACCTCACTTCTTTCCTTCCTCACTCCTACCTGTCACATTTGCAGGGTAGTTACAACTTAAATTCCCGTCTTAACCCTTAATCACCACCTTGCTGCCCTACTAACGTATGATGCCTAAAAATATACATCTTAATTATGCATTGGCAATGGGAAGAAGCTCCTCTAAAGTAAGGGTATATCTACCTTTAATTTAGTCTAAAGTGCATATAATGTGTAATATTATCATTACATGGCTGCTGAACTATGTTAATATTTTGGTTGTGGGGTTGCAGGAGACCTGGAGTTCTTGTTCTTGTGAATGATTGTGATTGGGAACTAAGTGGTCAGCTGAATACATCACTGGAAGAGAAAGATGTGGTGGTTTTTATATCAACCTTGCATGGTGGGTAGTATGTAGGTGATCAAACATTTGATGAAGTGATTATTATCGTGTGATAAACACAGTTGTTGAAGTCATTGGTGAACTATGATAGTTAAAATTTGGCAATGTAATGGGTGAATCAACTTACATAGGGTAGTACGGCATATGCCTTGAACAGTCTGTACTTCCATTGTAATAATCTTGGTATTATACTTTAAGGTTTTTGGCAAGGACGTGAAACTTGTATGACATTAACAAAGTAAAATTTGGTTACTTGGATGATGGATCTTAGGTCTGATCCACATGTTCATGATTTGCTTTATTTATCTTTAGAGATTCACTTGGATGCTCTTTCCAAAAAAAGGGGGGAAGATTTAAGTTTATACTTTTTCTTTTTTGGTTTTAAACTTTTATCTATATATAAGCTTGTAACTTTTTTTAATGAGTATGTTACTATTAAATTAATCTTGTAACTTATGTGTAAACATTTGCAGACTTGTGGAAAAACGTTACAAACATGTGAATAAATTTGTAAATTTATATATAGAAATTACAAATTCATTGGATAAGTAGATAAGAATCTTTGACTTTTACTCAAATTTTAAGCTCCAAGAGAACCAAGATGATGAGTCTCTAATTGTTCTATACTATAGGTTTACCCTGTTCTTGATTTGCATAATTTTTGTTTTAATAGTTGTTTAGGAATTTAGGGGTTTTACTCAAATTTTTAGTCATTCAAAGTGCTCAAACAAGTTAGGAGTTAATTTCATTTTGAATGGGTAGGTCTAAGGTTAAGTAATTTGAACACCTCAAAGGCTCAAACAGGTATATTTTTGTGTATATAACAAAAGTATGTGAGGTTGTTGCATGTTCCATCTGTATCAGAAACTTACCCTTCCAGACAAAGGTCATTCATTATTCACCAAAGATTGAGAATGGACGTCGTTACCTTTGGTGTTTGGATAAATAGGAGCTTATTATATTCAAAATCACTCGAACACGTAAGTAACTGTTAGACAACCCAAAAAACATCAATTTTGTTGAGAGTGGGATTTGAACCCACGCCCTTTCGGACCAGAACCTTAATCTGGCGCCTTAGACCAACTCGGCCATCTCAACGTTTGGTGATAGAGTTCGGTAATATTAATATTTTTATATTGTGCTCGTAATTCTTTTGAGAAAAGATATATTTACCAACAAAAAAAAGTTTGCAACATTTACAACCAACCTAATCACCGTTGATTTTCGTCAATCTAACTATTATCATTTATTAGAAATTATTGGATCATATTTATTAATTAATTATTAATTTCAAAAATACTAACCGTTAGATTGACGAAAATCAACCGTAATTAAATTAATTGTAAAAGTGGTAAACTTTTTTTATCCTGCCCCATTTTTTTAACCGAAGTAAAAATAATTGTAGTCAAGAGTTTTAGCCGTGTACTTCTTCAACTATTTGAGTGATTTGGAGGGAAAATATGATGTCTCAATGAATTACAGTTATCATGGCAATCGTACGCATGACATTTGCCAAAAATTGTTTCACAATCATAAATGCCATAAAGCCATCTTAAAATATCACAAAGGCAGAAACATGATCATTTATATTAAAAAAAAGTATATAAAAGTTGATTTGAAGAAGATCATATTTTTAGAATGGAATATTCACTCTCAATTCTTAAGAAAGCGTACATTTCACGTAAAAAAATTAAGCAACGGAATTTTACAATATTTTCAAAATTAGAAGGATTATTGAATCGGTTACATTGAACTGGTTCGTGGTTCAATAATATATATTTGAATTATTAAACACATTATAATAAATATAATAAACATTATAGAACACTCGTGGGGCTAATGGGTAACATAACATATTTCATGCCTTGGGAATAGGGATGTAGGTTTGGCTGTCATGTACTACACAGCTTTAATATTTTATAATGTTAATGCTATATTTAGAAAATAAAAATAAAAAAACTATAAAAAATAAAAACTGATCCCAACTAGTTAACTATTGGTTTTACTAATTTTGAACCTGTTTTGATGATTCTAGATTGACACTTTGCAAGTTTGCATATGTAGATTGGATATTTGACTGGTTCATAGATTTCTAATTAAACCAAACAGTTCAGTCTGGTTTTTCTATCCATACAAATTTACACAATCAATAAATCACATCATGCAACTTATATACAAAAACTATTAAAAACTCACTACAGATAAATGTTCAGTTCGTATGGAACATTTTTTTAGCATAAAAAGTTTTACAAATGTATCCAATTTACACTCTACACGTATATTTAAAGTTTGAAGTTGTTAGACACCTTTAACTTTGTCTACTTGTGATTACTTCATTTCAAGAGTTCAATTCAAATTAACTAAAGTTGCATCACATGCCTGGTCAACCCATCTTCTACTATTACTCTTATTATTTCGTTACATGAAATTTCTTGACTGGTTCCATCTTGAGTAAAGGATGCACTTACTAATCCATTTTCTAGAAAGCATGTTCTAACATAGTGAATTTGAATATTTGTAGGCACACACTATATTTAATTCACCATTCAAACTGCGTAGTGATAGATTAATTTCTGTGCAAAACAGTGAGCAACAATGAACTGCCATTAAATATTTAAGCAGGTGCAAAATCAAACCTCTTGCATAATTGTGTTTAGGCTCTTAAAAAGCCTCACCTGGTTCTGGAATCAAGACATGGCAAGATTTTGTGTACCAAACTCAACCACACCAATAACAACTACAGATTTTTCATTATGGACAACTGGATATTTGAACATGGTCACCTTTACTTGGAAAGTTGAAAACAACAAAAGGAAAGAATATTGATAAGAAATTATCCGATTCATAATCTGAAAGTAAAGAATATTCATTAAACAAATTAAACTAACCTCAGCAACTTTTTTTGTGGCTGTGTTTACATGAGAAAGCTCACTGTAACATTAATTAAAAAGAAGCAAAATAGACAATTGACTTATATTGGCAGCCCAACACAGAAGAAGATGCTTTATCAGATGTAAGCTTCAAAAGAATGTGAACCAAAAAGGCATTATTCATGAATGTGGGGGGGGGGGGGGGGGGGGGGGGCATCAAGCCTTGGGCTTCCCCCATTTGAGTCTCTCCAATTCTTCTTCAGCCTCTTTTAACTGGTGTTGTAGAGTTGATACTCTACGCTCTAACCGTTCTACTTGGTCTCTACTAGATAAAGGTTGATATGGTGACGTAAACTGTCTTGAAAAAGCTTTCAGAGATTCAACCCCAGTAACCTATCAATTTCCACTGGCTAATCAAAGGCTCATAGAAACAAGCATGAAACAATAACTGATGAAAGAAAAGCAACTACTCACATGGTTTCAAAGTTTTATACAAATAACCACAAGGTTTTTTTACCATCACCACGACACAAAAAAGGAAATTTTGAAATTATACATATGTATGGATCTGCTCTGAATATCAAGAATGCAACAACTTACCTCTTCTGGGAGCAATGGCAGCTTGGTAATGTGAAAGTCATCATACAACATGTAAAACTGATCCAGATACTTCTGTTGCATTTTCATTCTTGCTTTAAGTAACTTAGATTCGACATCTACAAGGATGAACAGATCAGCAGACAATATTTATAAGATAAGGTAAAGTTATATATAAAAAAAAAAAATTAATATATCAAGGACATGACAAGCATGTTACCTTCATCATCAAAGATTACTTGATTAATGATGATATTGTGTGTGTCAATCTCAAACTTCGTAAGTTCCTGAACTAATCTCTCTGTTTCATAAAGTGAAAGGAATTCAGGAATGCAAACACAGACAAAGGTTGTCATGTCCTGTGAATAAAGAAAACACAAATTAGTTTTTGGAAGGAGATTGGTACCTGGGCTTGGGTAACTAATACAATAGAAATATAAAATCCAGCACAAAAATATACAGGCATAATTCAAAGACAATAACTAATACATCTTAATTGATCACACTGAATTATTAAACAAAGGGAACAAAAACCATACAACAAAAGAGTAGGACCAATCTAATCATTTACCCACAATATATCAAGTTAAAAAAACTACTACCTTAACTCTTAAGCATAAATATTGCAATTAGAAACAAAGAGAAAGTGTGTTAGTGAAGATTTAAAAATAAAATAAATTGTGGGACACGATAGACAGCGAACATGGGTGCATGTCAGAATAACTGAAGGAAAGTAAGCCCATTCTTTTTATCAAAATTATAGGGAGACATCCCTTTTATGCAGTGAAGGGGCCTCACTCTCTTAGCTATTCATCAAATAAAAAGAAAATAACATTTGATTTGTTTGTACCAAAAGGACTGTATCCAAACTCTAGAGGAAGAATGCTTTCAATCAATCTTATTATTTTACACCCCTCTCAGATATATTGTCTTAATTTTTCAATGATTAATGCTATCTAACAACTGAAAAGAACAGTTTTAGTTAAAACAATAAAAACAACATTTCTTAAGAAATATCCTATCCAAGTCATTCAGGTTTTAGGTCAATTATACTATCAATGTGTGCCAGTTCAATCTTCTTCTAAGAATTAGATCCTTAACTTCACAGTTTCTAAGGATTACAAGGTCAATTTATTTCATGAATAGACAAAACGCAGTTCAAGTTTACCAAACAAATAAATAAAAACTACAGTTTATTGATCTGCAAGAATATAAGCCACAGTTTAGTGAAGGAAAAACAAGAAATTATCATTTTCAAAACAATATGAAACCAAAGTTAAATGTAATTCTTACCGGATCTTTGAATTGCTTATTAACTTGTTCGATTACATCCTTCATGCTTTCCATCTTCCCAAGAATTGCATCATCACCAAAATCATCACCCATGCCAAACATGCGAGTCATCTGCGATGAAAGTTCAAAAAAGAGTACAATTACACAATAGATGATGAAGCAAATATCTCATGAATCACCAAAGAAGTTTGCCCCAAGTTAGGTAATAGAACAGTTAAATCACGAGAATGCAAAATTTATCCAGAAGGAGCAAAACAATTGATTTTTCACACAGAAAGTGTTTGCACTATAAAATGCAGACATTAGTAATGACAGCTACAAGAGAAAGATAGTCTTTTTCCATTTCCAATATTGAATGTGACGAGAGATAATAATAATAATACAAAAAGTAATTCAGAAGGAATCAAACGATGCTCATTTAATTGAATATGCAGAATTCATCTATGATACAGAGACTGATCAGCAGTTTTCTGACAACACAAAAGAGGTCTCCTGTGATTCAATTCTAAAATGATGGACAGCAGATATGCACACATTGCATCTTCAATTGTAGTGCAGAGAAAGACAATCTAGTTAGTTAGAGTGGGATCCCCACACTTAAGGGACCAAAATACATCCTTTTTGAATGGAAAGTGATACAACCCATTCCAATAACAGTAAAAATTACAGAAAACAACAATGGAGTCAGAGAAATTCCAATGTATATTACTGATATTCTTCTCAACAGTACAAGCGATTAATACAACCAACAGTAAATCCTACAGTTCAAGCTACTAATACAATGAAATCTGGATGAAACAATTAAGGCAGAAAGTTGCAGTGAAACAGAGACAGAAATGAGAACTTAGAGCAATTGGAGAGGCTCTACACTCTCCCAAACCCAATCTCCAGCCAAGACTCCAGATGTCCCCATCCCCCTCCACACCTTTCCTATTTAACCACCCTTAACTCACTTCTCATGCCACCCATTCTGCTAGAGTTTGTTACATTGGTTGCAACTGATTTGATGAGTCAGCAAAATTGCAACTGATTAAATGAATCAACAACCCTTAAAGCTAGGATTGTATCAGAATGAAACATCTGGGAGTAAAAGAATTAAATCAAGGAGTGGAAAGCTATGACGGGAAGTTGAAACTGAAACAGTAAGATCTCCAAATGAAATGAGGATCTGTTTTGATACTTGGATCTACTGGCCAGAGAGCATTTTACTTAAAAGCGAAAAAAATCTGATAGAGGATCAAGATATTGGTATTAAATAAGTCTTATATAAGTTAATTAAAGACGCGCTGTGTTGCATTGTCCTAGATCCACCATGAGGAAAGATCATAGGTTAAAATTTAAAATAGAATAAAATAAAATCTGATGGGGTATTTTTATTTATTTTTTAATCTGAATATAACAGTCTAAATACTGAAACTGAACCAAAAACTAGTAAAGAAAATATCATGTGATGCAAGAAGTATGAGTCTTAAGTTCATACCTGATTAAACAAACCGCCAAATTTACTTTTCAATGACATCATTTTAGCAAGACCCTTTTCTAAAACCGATGGGAATTGTAATAGTCTGAGTGTATGGCCAGTAGGAGCAGTATCAAATACAATAACAGAATAATCCATTGTCTGCACCAGTCTGTAAAATTGTTATAGATCAAAACAAAATGAAGATAAAAGAGAAATTAAGTTGAAAAGTGACATTTTGAACAAAATCCAGAAATGGGAGCACCACGTACTTGGTTAACAGATTTCTAGATGAATCACACATAGCTCAGAATGTTTTGCAAATTACCGAATACTTGAATGAAAAACAATATCCACATAGATGAATGTCAATAAAAGTTATGCTAAAAATTTATATTTTTGAGATTACCATACACTGATTCATTTGCAAATAACCTTTACTTAGATATAAGCAGTTTTAAGAACAATAAGATTCTTAATTTTCTTTTATAAAATCAATAGTTGCCCTTTGAAGTAACATGTTTGATTTGAACTGTTAGACCCATCATCAAGTATTAAGGTAGCATATGTGTAATGGGAACAGTTCCCTCTCATGAACCTTATATACTAGATTATCAATAGTGCCGCTATCGCGTGCAATCCCACTATAGATGCATGTAGTGGTAGCCAGCCATTATTTCTGCTATGCAACTCTACGAGTTGCAGTAGCGACTGCAATCGCAACCCAAGTCACAGCTTCCCGTGACACTATGGTGAAGGATGGGAAAATCCCATATTTGCCTATGTAACTGGTGTCCCGACATTCATATTAAGAGGGTATAATTGACTTTTAACCCCCTTTTTAAGTTCGAACTCTATCTCAACTCTTTCTAGACTAGAATCGTGGCCTATCTCGACTCACTCTCCGCTTCTACCTCTCTCCACTCAAATCGTCTCATTTTCCAGAACACTGATCAACTTCCAGCGGTTTTCTAGCTACTCACTCTGCCCTTCGAATTTATTTTGTCTCGACCCACTTTCTCCTTTGTTCTGCGAGTATTTTCTCTTTGACTCAATTGGTATTTTCTCCTTGTTCACCGCTATTGCAGCTATTTTCTCCTTGAATTTTGTTAATATAGTTCCTTTCAATGATTTTTTGTTGCTTGCTCTATGCTCCTTGAATCCTTGTTTGGATGAAGTTACAATAGAATTAATTATGAACGAATGTCTTTAATTTTGGATGATTTATTACTTTTGAGCATTTATTAATATATATTTAGTATAATTTACCATAGCATTTATGCGGGGTTCATTGTTGCGGCTATACCAATACCCGCTATATCACTATAGTGTTTTTGGGGTTGGCTGTTATGCTACCCGCGATTGATAACTATGCCTAAAGAATACTCTTGTTTTAATTTTTACTAATGCAATTGAGAACTAAGCATTTGTTATGCAGGATTTTAGAAGGTTTTCTCATAAACCTATGGTAGGAATCTTTTTAAGTACACTATTTTATGTGAGATATCAATTAGGATTCCCAGAATTCTAGTTTCCCACAGACTACTTTAAAACTTAGGTGAAAAAAAAAAAATGCTCTAACAAGATTTTAGGTCACAGTATTCTTACTTCAACATCTCAGCAAAGCTCATAGCCTCATCAATTCCAGGAATTGCACCAGCTAGCTCTGAGAACAAACTATCCATCCCATCAGAACCACCCATGTCCTCATGTTCAACGGTAGGATCCACCTCCTACAAATGATCATAACACAGAATGAAACAAAACAATTAAAAAAAAAAAAGTAAACCAATTCCTTGATAATGGGGTTCTCATATTCTTCACAGAACAACAAATTATTTAGGTTTGGGCCATAAAGCATGATAATTGACAACATGGGCATGCTCAGATTCATAAAAAAATAAAATAATAATAATAATAATAAATTAAATGTAAATCAAGGAAATGAAAGGGTACCATAGCATAGAGATTGGAGAAGCCATTGACCAAAGTAGGGGTCTTGGTGAAGCGTTGTTGAAAAGCATCGCTGAGATTGTGTGCAGGGTCGGTGGAGATTATGAGAACAGAGTTGCGTACAGTGGCGAGAAGGATTGAGAGAATGGAACTGCAAGTGGTTTTGCCAACACCACCTTTGCCACCAACGAAAACCCACTTCAGAGACTCTTGTTCTAGAATGTTCTTCACCGTTCCCTCAGGTTGATCTGCCATTGCCACACCCTTCTCTCTCTCTCTCTCTCTCTCTCTCTCTCTCTGCTTTTGATGAATCAATATATATATATACTATGAACAAAGCAAACACAACTTCAGATAGAGAGAAGAACGATGGTGTTTTTCTTTTTTTCGTTTTATGGGGATTTTTGCGTTTGTCTTTGGATTTCAACACAAACAAAACAAACTTTCCATATTTTAGAGTTCAAATAGAAATCGAAATCTTGATGTCACACGGATAAGGAAAAGTATTTCTTTCAAATAAGTATTTCTTTTAAACGAGATAATTTTTTGCCATTTTTAAATGAAATTATGTTGTTTAAACGAGAACATCGATGAAAGTGTCACTTGCAAATTTTTTATCGAAATATTACGTGAATAGTATTTTTATCGGACTGCCACGCGATGTAATATGTTACGTTCGCGAATAATTTTGTGACATATAACTTATTTTGGCAAGAAAAAGCTGACCGAACGTAATTTGCTATTAGTGGGAGCGAATTTGGTACGTAATGTGGCCACATGTTACAAAATCATTGGCGAATATAATTCGTTACTAGTCTAACGAATTACATCGTGTATTAGTCTGGTAAAAAATAATGTTCGTGTGACATTTAGGTAAAAAATTTACCAAACAGTGACACTTTAGTCACTGTTCTGTTTACATGTGTTTTTGTATTTTTTTTCTTCTTTACCTTTTTTTCTAATTTTATAAAAAAAAAAAAATACCAAAAACACTTTTCTCTAAAACAATATAGTTTTTAATAAAACAATTCAATGTTCTATCATTTAAAATGAAAAATACTTACGTTATTTTAGTGTGCTTTTACATTCTTTCTCATTCATTTTCTTTTTTTGTTAATTTTATAAAAAAGAAAAAAAAATCAAAACGACGTATTTTCATTAACAATAACACAAAATTGTGTCATTAAAAATGACAAACACTTCACTCTTATTTATATTTTAAGTTTATTTATTTTCGAATCACATAATTTTTTTATAAAAAAAAAAATTGACAAATTCGTCTTAACCATTTTATATTTAAATCCTCGATCACGTTTTAAAAAAACATTTATTTATCAAAATCGAATAGAAAAAATAAGTGTTCATTTTTTAAATATTATTGTTAAAATTTAAAGAAAATTTTTTAACTGAGGATGATGGACAGTAATGATGGGCTACAAGTTTTGTTTGAAGTTTGCGTTATGATGTTATCTCATCATTTAATCAGTATAATAGTTTCAATAAGTATTATACTTAATATTTGTTATTAATTTGGATGTATTTGATGATTATTATTTGGATTTATTATTTCTCCCATAATAAGATAAAATTATCTTCTGCAACTTTAAAACAACCATGTAATTTTGGATTTACAGAAGATAATTTTATAAATTATCTCAGAAACAAGAAACCCTTATTATTTATCTGAAATTGATCATTAATTAACAATTATAACTTAATAAATTAGGATCACAAAAGATACATAAATCAAGACTTAAAACTTAGTGAAAAATTTATTATTTTTATACCAATACAAATTGATATACATGTTTTTAAATTTATCAAATAATGTGATAATTATTTTTAAATAATAATAGTTTGATTGTAATAGAAGTTTAAATTTTACATTTCATGGATACCAATTGCATTAATTAAAAGTTGATATTTAAATTCTAAAGTTGAAAGTTCGATTTTTAGAAAAAAAAAATTTAGGAAATTTTTTTACCTTCACATCTGGTTGAAATTGCAAAAATAATATATATATATATATATATATGTATATATATATATATATATATATATATATAAATATTTCTAAAAGAAAATAAATTTAAATTTTTTTATACACTAATAACACTCAAGTTTAAACTTCTAATTTCATATAAATTATCTAGATCTCTCATCATTAGATTATATTTAGTGGCTTAAATTATTAAGAGATGTAATTGTCTCCTGTTGCGGTAAATATATTAAAAAAATTATATGGCTTTTAAATTCATAAATGCTATCCTTATAAAAATTGTGGAAAATAGCATTTTGGATTATTTTTTCTGAATGCACAAAACTGTGATTTGTGTGATCTTTTGCAATGCCTTTCCCGATATTTACAAATCTCACATTTATTCAGTAATATTTTAAGGCTTATCAAATTTATTAAATTATATATATATATATATATATATATATATGTATATTTATATGTATATATTTGGTAGGTAATATATACATTTTTTTGCTTCTGTCAAAATTGAACTTTAAAGTTTTGCTGTTGTCTTTGTTAACTTACTTTTGATTAAAAATAAAAATAAGAGTAAACACCCTTTTTAGTCCATGGCAATATCTACGAAGTCTTTTTCAGTCCCTGGCAATAAAAAAGGACCAAATTGGTCCATGAAAGTACAAGAAAAGGGCCACTCTACATATTTGGGAGTTGACATAAGAACTAACATGGCTCTTTTTTTGTAATTTCAGGGACCAATTTGGTCCTTTTTTATTGCCAGGGATTAAAAAAGACTTCGTAAATATTGACATGGACTAAAAATGATGTTTACTCTAATAATAAAACTGCCTTTTGAATTTGTTTGGGCCTTAATTCTTGCTTGTTTAGCTCCACGTGTGCTTCATTTTCAAAGACACGAGGAACGACGATTGATTGCATTGGGCTTTTGTTAAAGGGGTTTTTTTTTTTTTTTTTTTTTATAAACAGTTAAAGCTTTGATATATAACTACATGGTTTTAATATTTTTTTGAGTTATTGGAGATAATTTATTGTTTGTGACTTTAAAATAATATTATTTTAAGGTTGTTAAAAAAATTTTATTATTCTAATTTATTATGGGGGTTATATTAATTTTTTTCTTTTAATTCTAATACGATGTTTTTTTTGGAGTAATTGAAGATAACTCTATCTCAAATGATTAGAAAAAAATTAAACCTTAATTACATTGATTAAAGTAATTTCATAACAAAATTATATATATATATATGTATATATATATATATATATATATAGGAGAAGGTTATACTTACAACCTATTTTTCTTTACAACCTCTTACAACCAATATCTTAACCGTTGATTTCCGTCAATCTACGGTTAAGATTTTTGTAAATAAAATTTATTAAATAATTATTAATTCACAATAAATCTTAACCGTTGATTGACGGAAATCAACGGTTAAGATATTAGTTGTAAGAGATTGTAAAGGAAAATAGGTTGTAAGTACAACCTCTCCCATATATATATTAGTTCACTAAAAACATATGAGTAAGTAAAATAAGTTGTACTTAGTTAATAATGTCAACATCTTGAAGTCATATAATTAAGACCATCATACCAAGTTTCTTTGAGGACAACTTATAGCCCATTGTACTATACCTTAACAAATGGCAGTTTTGAAAATGGATTCTCTTATGTATTAGTTAATAATCATGTGATATGAAAGTATTTTAATTATTGATGAGCAAATCAATAGTGATATGATCATTGTCATTGATTTACCCATGAATTATTAGGATAGGATTCACTCATCACATGATATAATCATATTAATTAACACATAAAACAATTCACTGTCAAGATTTTAAAACATCAAGTTTCTATACCTTTTTTTCATTTTTTTTCCATCCTCAACCTTTTCCTCTCTACTCTTAAACGTACTTTAAATAACTCGCGTTTGAGACATCAAATTGAGTTTTGAGACATCAAATTGAGTTTATTAACAAGATAAAAACATAAACACATAGACATAAGAATGTAAAGTAATTTTGCAAGTCATGTATTCAAAGATTATCAAAAAGGATCAAAAAATTTAATTGTGAATGAAAAATACTAGACCTAGGCAATACCCAAAACCCATGTATATCCTCTATCATAACACAAAATCTCTCGTTGTTGTTTCCTTGTTATCCAAAAGAGAATCATAGCTATTATAACCGTTCCTTGTCAATGAAATCTTTGGAAGCTTGTTCTTAACTTATCGCATCAACCCTATTTATTAATGTTGTCAACATTAGGCCATCATCTGTAACTGTAATTCTAATTATGGTTATACATCCAAACCTTAGTAACAGAAATCTATCAAGAACATTTTGCAACTTCAACCGACAAATTCCACAAACAAAATCACAACATTAATTAATGAAACTACTAAAATATTCATGATGTTATTATAGGGAAACACAAAACTCTCATTCATTAAAAACATCTACCGCAATGTTAAGAATAACCTAACTCCAAGAAAAAACTGGATTTCTTACTATTACTTCTACACATACACACACACACATACAAAAAAAAAAAACTTTGTAAGAATGATTGCAATCTAAACTTTTATATATATAACTGATTTGTTGAGAAGAAATATAAAAGAATCTAGAAAGGCAGAAAATAAAACTGTAATGAGAAGAAAAAAGTTTATTCCTGTTCAAGCAAAGAAGATACATATATCATATGTATGCATGGTACAAGAAAAAAACGCAGAACTACCTTATAATATAAATATATGCAACTTTCTAGGTATGATGTGGAGGTGTAATCTTGATAACGAGACCAGGGAAGACATCATCAGGGTCATGGATATGAGGGTTATTCTCAACTATAAAAGGGTCATCACACTTGTCACTGATTGTGTGAAGTGTCTCTCCTTCTCCCACCACATAGATTTCGTCACATGGCCGCGACAAGAGTTGGTTCTCTTTGAAGTTCGCATGATTTGGAAGAATAGAACTGTGCCTGAATATGCTTAACATTACAAGGGTCACAAGAACAAAAGCACAGTACCATGAAGCTGCATCAGCTATGGCTTTTGAACTTAAGATTGGTCCCTTTCTGGGGTTGAAAGCCATCACTTACAGTTATAGAGAGAGGGAGAGAGAGATATGGAAGAGAATAGCTTGGAATTTATGAATAAATAAGGGGAAAGAAAAAATGGGCCACGATGAGTGTGTGAGGGTCAGTTTAGGCGGTTATTTAGAAGAAAGAAAAGGGGCAAGATGGTGTTACGTGAAACAATTACCTTCTTTTTTGGGGCCAAACTACCCTTCTTTGTCTTTTTTTGTTTTTAGAATTTTCTTTTCTTAATTGTTTTTGGTCTTTTGAGTCATTCGAAACTCAAGAGTTTTTAGAGTTTTGAAAGTCAGTGGAATTATCATTATTAGTGTCGCCAACTTTGCACATGAAACGGGGGAATATAAGGGGGCATCTTGAAATGGCTATCTGAAGGGTCATGCAATTATGTGATACCATGTACACTATTCATATATATGTTAAACATTTACGTTTGGTGATATATTTAACGAACGATAGAACATTAATTAGATGTTCGATATTGTATAAATTTGGTATAGCTTTGAAACAATGATATGAAAAAAGTTGTATATAATTTACAATGCAGAGGATGCAAAGTTTAGTCAGACATAAACTTTCATTTATTAGCAGATGAAATGAGTAGTAACTGGGTAGAACGACTAGGGGTCACTGACTGATGAATCATATAAGTTGGTAAATAGATTTATTAGCTATGATACACCTCTTGAAAATTCAATAAAGTAAGACTTTGGATTGGTTGTATGTTGGTAAGTGGATTAATAATTGCTCAAAGCGCGTTCAAGCATGCTTAATGAAGGGTATTAAGACTTGGGTTGTAAATGGTGGAATGTTGACAAAGCTTTTATGTGGTCACAATTTGAGTGCTTGGAATATGCCTCAGCCACCCGAATAAGTAAGAGACTTTGGCTGAAAAAATTGAGTTATATATATCTGCAGTAACATGGACCGTTTAAAGTTAATTGGACAAAATATGCTATATGATTAACATTTTAGGCAAAACTTAGTGATAAATCTGTTTACTGTTGAGAGTGAATCCTTCTCAGCCATACTTTCTTTACTTTGAAAATAACCTCACAAAAGCAAATCTATAACATTACAGTACACTCAAATCTATTGACCCAAAAGAATTTATACAGATAACGTAACTGTAGAGTGTTTTCAAAACAAATAATTATGAAAATAAGAAACTAGATTTTAAATCAATTCCACAATAATAAAAAAATTTAATACTCGTAATTATTGGTAGAGGCATTGCAGAATATCACAAAAATGACGCTTTGTGCATTAGGAAAAAACACCCCATCTCTTATTTTCCACAATCTATTTAAGGATAGTAATTGAGAATATAAAAGCTACACAAGATTCTTTCTTGATATATTCATCAAAGCAGGAGACAATAACATATCCTAGTAAGATTGAACTAACAGCAACATAACGAGAAAATTGGAATTGGAATTTTTCATTGAATATGTGCATTGTAATATACAAATCTGTTTCAGAGAAAAATAAATTCGAATCTAGATGACTTGCATAATATCAGATGAGGCAGACATTAATATCTGTCTCATTTGTAATTAAGAGGCAGATGCATAATATCAGTTGCATCAAGTAGGCAGTTGCAGGAAAAAGGAGACATTTCTCAAGAGCATGCCCCCTTTGGCTCATTCAACCATTTCCACACAGTCAGCAAACCAGTCCCGTCTCCCGTGAACAAAAGCCCACCTGGACCTTTCTCCAAAGACCGAACTTCTTTTCTTGCAAATAATCGACCCATTTCTGAAAATCTGTAAATGTACACATGGTCAGGGGCTGCTCAACTCCGAAATATTCCAAAGTCAGTTGCAGAACAAAATGAAAGCATGTTTTTGGCTCACTTACGATGGCAATTCATACAGGCCAACTGAATTGTCTCTGCACGAGCAGAACAGTATATGCTTGTCTTCTGGAACAGTCATCCCACAAAGTGCAAGAACACCCTATAATAAAAATAAAAAATATTTATTGGGTGAATCAACTAAGTCCTTCATGAACATTGCAAAAATATCAGCTTGACTTCTACAAATGCAAATTCAACCAAATGATATTAGACATAAAATAAAAAAATTATTTATGTACAGATGTTATAGAGGTTATGCAACTTACATTTTCCTCAGTGTGTGTATATGTCACTTTCAGAGTCCCCTCCTCAGTGGCACCCCAGACCTTAATTGTGCAGTCATAGGAACTTGATAACAAATAATTGTTCCAACATATAAGGGATGTGACTACGTCAGTATGCTCATTGAGTGTCATTTTGCACTCTAATGTATTCAGGTCCCAAACCTGAAGAAAAAAGGTAACATAATTCTTTCAGACAAGTTCCTCGGTAGAAACAATCAACAAGCAATTGTGTGGATAACAAAGGAAAACAGCAGCACCTAAGATTTATAAAGACAAAACATATATAAAATATCTACCAAGAAACACACAAAAAAAAGAAAGAAAGAAAGAAAGAATAGACAGTCCTCACTGACAGACTATAGACATACCTTTATGCTATGGTCCATGGACCCTGAGTACAGCCTCTCACAACCAACAGTCAGACAAACCACAGCTTTAGTGTGGCCTCTGAGGGATGCAATCAGTTCAACAGGGGACCTAGTTTCAGAGCTGCCTCTCCATGCAGAAATTACACCATCCTACAATTTAAATCATCACATGATACATAAATTGATATATGACATAAAAGAACAGTCAAAAAGAAAGAGAGAAGTCTGACCAAAAAACAAATCTATCCAGTTACTATTTACAGAAAGAAAGAAAAAGTCTGAATCGTATTAAATAATAACAATAAGCCACTGTATGGGAAGTTACCTCTGCTCCAGCAAAAAGTGTATCATTGCCAACAGTCATGGCAAGGACTTGACCCTTAGGTCCATCTAGAGTAAACTCTGAAGCAGTCTGAATATTCCACGCCTTCACCATAAGCACAGCCACACAATCAGCTTACATGCAATGCTCCCATGTATAAGACATGATTACACAATGAAACTGCTTGAGAACTGAAGTTAGAGCTTGCCTTGACAGAGTTTCGCAAACCAACAAAGACCCATGGGCCCTCACTGATCAAAGAAGTGACTTGAGAACCAAGATTTATCACGTTAACACATTGACCAGAATGACAGTCCCAAATCCGAACTGTCCCATCAGTGCTTCCAGAAAATAATTTGTCCGATCCAGCTGGCAGAGCAATACCAGTCACAACCTGAAGGGAAAAAATTTAGTTTATGTAAAAGGAAGCCAAAGAATTTGTAGCATTACATGAGAAACTGTGAGAATAATTTTAAAGAACACACAGCCCAACAGTAGGTTCAGTTGGTAGTTCCCAAATTAAACAACATATAGTTAAATTATAAATCTCTATGATTCTAATTACTAAATAGTAATTATAGTCAAAAATTAATTCAGCCATCAAGTTTAATCTAGTTGTTTGTTGTACAAATCAGGATATACATGCATTATGTTGTATTGAACACTAAAAGGTGGTATTAGAACAAAGTACCTTCTTGTGTTCTTGAAGCCTGGCTAACGTGGAAAACCCATCACCATCACCACGAAACCATGAATCGAAGCGATTCATAGTCATAGAGGGTCTCTGAGTCTGAGGAGGGGTTTTGTTACGCTTCAGAACCATTTTTCCCCTGTCCTCCATCACCGCTATTTCTAACATACACTGTCCTTGAACTATACACACGGATCTTCTCGTTTGTCTTCTGAGAAGACTCAGCGAAACTTGTTCATCTCCTCTCTTTTGAACCAATGTTTTTCCACTGATTCTTTCAGTCATGCTAGCTACTTTCATATCCATATTACTCTAAAAACACACACACAAACATTTAATCTTGTTCAGCAGCCATGTTAATCGCGAATCCCTTAAACCCCGAACTTATCGTATCGCTAATCCTTCGGAAAACCCTAATAAATAAATGAAAAGGAACCCTAAAACGGAAACCCCAAACTTCAGAGCGTAAAACCCTAAAATAGATAGTCGCAGATGATCCATCATAAAAAAGAGGTATTGGCGTGCGAAGAAGAAGCAAACCTTAGTGATGAATGAATAATCCGAACTCTGTGATTAATGGGAATCGAACAGAGAACAGAGAACAAAGAAAGGATTCAGAACTGTGGCGGTGAGGGTCAAGTGCTTATTATTTACATTTTATAGAGACGCAAACACGCTTTCTGTTTCTGTCTTTTATCTAATCTTAATTCAAGATAAGATAGATAACTAATCTAACGCTTTCTGTGGCGTTATTGACTGATATGAGGGAGTGATAGTTAAATTTAAAAATATATAAAACCACATATATGAGAAGATTATCTTGTTATTAAATTTAAAAGTCAGGTATCAGAGTCAATCTTGATTTGATTTAATCTGCGAAGCTATCCTAATCCCAACACTTTTATTATGGCAACGTTCTTGTGGCAGAAGTATCGAGTTGCATCCTTGGACTTGAAATTGATTTTCGCTTGGCTTGAAGGTAACTCATTAGTTGCCAACATCTTGAGAGAGAAGGATATAATTCTCATCACCCAGCCTCTAAGTTGATTTAGCGCATTAGGAGCATGATGTGGTGGGACTATATGATTAAAATCTCCCATACATTTGGAGGGAAATGAGATTGTTGATTGGATGACTTCTTTTCTTTACTCTTTTGATTTGTCTTTTGTATGAGTTTGATCATCCTTACACAGGGTGCCGTGTCAGGGTTTTTTCGAGATTATGTAGGTGTGGCTTGGCCTAGGATGATTTCCAAGTTGTTTTTGTTTTTTGATTTTTCCTTTTCTGATTATTATCCAAAAAAAAACTTTTATTATTATGAAAAAAGTAATATTAAAATTAATTTGAATTCAAAAGTTAAGAGAATTATATTGTTATTCACATAGATTAGAAATAATTTCTTACTTAGATTAAACTAAATCTTTTATAACTAAAATATAAATTGAATCAATTTTATCTTTATATTTATACACAACTTGAATAGTGTAGATGTGACTCTAAAGCAAAAAAAAAATGCATAAAAAAAAGCCAAGAAAAGAGTTTTGAAAATAAAGTTGAAATTTTTACCCAAAAAAAATACAATTTTCAAAAGCCACCCGATCAGGGCCCGAGACTGGGCTCCTCCCGCTACTTGGAAGCTTATGATTTTATGTTCTATTTCACTCTCCAATGGTTCGTTTCACTCTTTCCTCACGGTACTGCTTCCTTATCGAAGAAAAAAAATGAATATAAACTTCTACAACTTAGACATTCTTTGAATATTTGTCGAGTCTCCTATAGATCAAACAAAATAATTGAAGTTAAACCAGATAGAAGAATAAGAGTCTCGTTTATATATATATATATATATATATATATATATATAAAGCTCTTCTTAAGAGCTTTTGGCTTTTAACTTTTTTCTTCGTTAAAAAAAAAATCTTTTTATTGTAAGAGCTTTTTTAAAAACTTATTTGACTTAGGGCCCATAGTTTCTAGAGAAGAAAAAAAAAAACAAACAAACTCCACAATTAATTAAAGGGAAACCCAAGGCTCTGCTAGGGTTTTGCGGCAGTCTCCATGGAGGCGAACTAGGGAAGCATAAAAGGCAGAGAAGGAGTGAAAATCGACAAAGATGGTGGTCAACAAATGTGGCTGGAAAGTATCTGATCGTAGCGGAAAAGAGGCCATATGTGAAGGTGGTGCAACATAACCAATGGGATGAAATTATTCCTGATGAAGAGGATCGTGTTTCTATTATTGGAAAACCATTGGTGGCAAAGCATGAGTTGGAGCCCGACATCTAGATCTGCAGAAACGACAACAGAGTTGCCAACTTCAAACTGTCAAACGTGTTTAAGCAAAAAGCTTAGCGACAATGGCAACATACACTAATCGTGAAGCTGTTGGAAAAACATGTGTCTTATGACTTTATGAAACGATGGCTGGAACGCATGTGGGCGGAGGAAGGAAGAATTTTGGTAACAGATGTAGCGAATAACTTCTTTCTTGTACGATTTGAAAGAGGACATGGCAAAAGCTAGGCACGGTGGACCATGGAACATCCTAGACCATTATTTAAGCATTCAAGACAGGGTCCCAAATTTCCAGCCTACAAAAGCTGCGGTGGATAAGGTAGTCGCTTGGATCAGGTTGCCGGAATTCACCTCAAAATATGTCAAGACGTAATTGGTTGAATATATAGGAAACATCATTGGGAGATTCATAAAAGTTGATCTAGTTGCTATGAATATAGCCCGGGGGGAATTTGCAAGTCTCTGTGTTGATTAAACCTAACAGAGCCTTTGCAATTGAAATATAAAATAGAAGGTACAAGGATGAGGATTGAGTACGAAGGCTTACTGCCTATTTTTCTTTCTTAAAGATGCAATAGGCACAAGACGCATCTCTACGCTTAGGTGGTGTCTACGGGAGCCAGTAAGCGGGTGTCCTCGCTTTAGGCAACAACACCTTAGGATCAATAGGAGACTAACAATGGTGAATGGATAGAGGTTCAGCATCGAAATAAAGGTAACGAAAAATCATAGGGGCATGAGAAGAATGTGCAAAGCAATCCCTCAGCTTCTGGGACCAGTGCAAGCAAAGTAGATGGGATAGTAGTATTGGGTGATAAGCAGTCGGTGGAAATTCATCAGATTGAGGAAGCTACCCATGTAGCTGCGGATGAAACACTAGAGGATGCAACTGTCACAGAGTACAAAGCTTTTACAGCTTTGGGGACCCCAATTGGCTCTTTGCTAGTCCCCTCTAAATTAATGGATTAGAGTGCAGCCTAAACAGATGGTGATCGTGGTGGAAACATGATTAAAGAACCAAGTTAAATGGTGGGGACAACCCCAAGACTAGTTGGCCGTCCAAGGAAAACAGAAAAAATTAATCCAAAGAACAATTTGGATGCAAACAAACAAAAATTGTCTCTCCGTTTGAGTAACAAATTGCTACAGCGCACGTCAAGCCTGCTACTCCTCTGTCTCAATGATGTGCTCATTCCTTGTATGGAACGTGAGAGGGGATGCCAAGAAGGAGCTTGGTAGGCACCTGAAGTTTTTAGTAGTCAAATACTCGATTCGGCCATTAGTTCTTGTAGAGACTCGCACCTCTGGGTTAAATTGCAAGCGGTTATTGAAGAAATTTGAGTTTGAAAAATATGCCTTAAAAGAGGCTCAAGGATTTGTGGGTGGTATTTGGTGGCTTTGCTCGTCTTCACATGTGTCTGTCGATGTGGTAAGACAATATACCAATTTCTCCATTCTCAATTCTGCATCCCAGGTATGCAAAAGTTTAATTTTACTTCAGTTTATGCTAGTCCAAATGAGCATCTTCGTCAGTCCCTTTGGGAAGATTTAAAGCAATGGAAAACGGTTGAGCCCTAGTTAATGGCGGGAGACTTTAATGAGATTGCAAGTGTTATGGAGAAAAAAAGGAGGTAGTCCATTGAACCCTTCTAAGTGTGACAAATGTACTTGTAATCGACGCTGGAATTCATTTCTGTTTTCAAAGATCAATTTTCTAAACAAATGAGTTTTTTCAAATAAATCTTTGTGGTGACTCTATTGTTTTAAACTTTTTTAATTTCTTCAGAATTTGGTCATGTCACAATAAGATTTGCTCAATCAAATCAGATAAGTGAATTCAAAGGATATCTTCTTGCTTTTTTCTGAAAATATATAACCACGACTTAGGTAAGTTACAATGCAATCCACTGAGCAAATAGCAAAAATTATTACAAGTAAGACTTGACGTTATTAAAATATATAATATCTACTTGCCTTTATTCAGAATATATTTGTAAGAGTGAAACAAATACACATCTGAATTATTTACTTTTTCACAATAATTGTAAATTGTCTTGTGAGTATAATCACGATCTCACATTGCATGAACTCCAAATCCTGGAATTGTTATCTATTGAAAAGAAGGGATGAGGTAGAGTATCGACGACCTCTCAATAGCTAATTAAGATATCTGCGTCAAAGAGACTCGCAAGTTGGGAAGAAGTGCTTGCCTCATCTCCCGCGAGAAATACTATAAAGTACTTGTCATCTTGAGAATAGGGGTGCTCAAACTTAGCGCAATACTTAGCCATGACTGGAACCCAACATGCCTAGGCCCAAATGGACGAGATCTGAGATGGAGTTGCTCCAAGCCAGCCACGTAGGATTTTGCCTGACCTTTGCTCCCATCAGTCTCTCTCTCCCATGATCTGCACCCAACTTATGCGATATCATCCCCGGCCCACTCACATGCATAACCACTCTGTGAACGCACTACTCTCACACAACCATCACGTTGCCCCCGATTAGGGGTGTTAACGGGCCGAGCCGAGCTGAGCTTTGGTCATAAAAGGCTAAGCCTGCGTTTAAATGTGTCAACCTGACCTAGCATGTTACCTGTTACGAATATAATTATCGGCATTGACCTGTCTTATTTACAAAAAATAAAAGTCTAGTTTGACCTATTTGCCTGTTTAAAAAGAAATAAGACAACAAAAATTTATCCAAACAGAATATACAATCAACACCACTAGTAATTCCATAAATATTCATAAATTCAATGTATATCTAAACAACATAATATAGAACAAAATTATTTAAAAAATCTGTTTAACCAAAAAAATGGGGTGAAATGGATTGAGGAGAGAGAAAGGACTATTACAAGTAGTATAAACAATATAAAATAAAAATAAAAATTAATATACTAGGTCGGCCTGAGAGGCTCTAAGGCCGAGCTTTTGAATCGGAGCCTCAGACCTTTTTATTAAACTAGCTTTTATATAAGTCCAAGCCTGGTTCCAATAACCAATTTCAGACATGTAGGTTCCGGCCTTCACGAGCCGAGCCAAAGGCCCCTGGTTTGTTTACCACCCCTACCCCCGATATATCTTAGGGATCACACACAGATCAACTCATTCACCCCTCTTCCCCTAAAATTTGCATTTGCCTGAGAACACTATTCTCTCGTTGCAGGATTCAAAAAATATTATTTATATTTGCATACTTAATGGAGTTCCCGAAAAAAAAATTTAAAGAAATTTTTAAATACATTTAAAAAATAAAAGAATATAAACAAAAAGAGAAAAGAAAATTATTCATATTTATCAAGCTTTATTATTTCACTTATATCTCATTTTTTGTAAATGCTATTTCA